CGTGATGTCGGGATGGCCGCCCATTGCCGCCAGATGTAGAGCCGTGTAGCCACCTCCACCGTCTGCTTTACACCATTATAGTGTAGGGCAGTGCAGGATAGGACAACATCTTATGGCGTAGGATCGTACGGTACCGGATACGATGGGATCGGCTGGCGTAGTATAGTCTGGTATGGAAAATAAAATTATCGGCGGCGATCCTCCCAGGACGAAGAATGATGAATGTCTTATGAGGGTGGTACTAGAGCAACGCCGATGATAGTGACGCCGCGATGCCAATGACTGTTGGCACTGCAAGTATTGCCCGCACCTTCTGTTGCTACTCGCAAGAATATGGATCAAGTCAGTGATATTTGCATCATCTGCTCCCCTCATCCCGACCCTCTGCTCGAAGCTCGACGTTGGCTCGAAGAGCCACGAGTGCGAGGACGCTGGCCTTCGGATTCTGTGGTGATGGGAGATCGGCTTCGGGCGAAGGGGTGCGGCAGGATGGGTATTGAGGCTCTTCTTGTGAGGGCAATTTCCCCTCGTCTAGGACTCTGTGGCCAAGGGAACATGCGGCACGGACGAAGTTTCATCAGCATTTCTGCACCGCGACACTACGCCACTACTCCATGGGCTGATTGAGAAATCGCAGAACATGCTTTCCTTCTGCGAGGAACCTGTACGACCACCATACGACCCACTGATTGCGAAAGCCAGCAGACTGTGCTGAGCACTGCGACCATGTGGCAATCTGACCACACTCGACGGCCACTCCCAGGGGAGACCGCGAGTCCTCACGAGGCGAAGGAGGGGTGAGCTTCAGCAAAGGCAAATCTCTTGAAAGTAATTGCGAGACGTGGCTCTGAGCGGACAGGGAAGGACGGCTTGTGACACAGCACGGGAGAGTTTAAGAACCGCCCCCTTTAATGAGCTTCGCTCTGATACTGTATCCGCAGAGTCTTAGAGCTGAAAATTTGGCCTTCGTATCCTGAAGGTTTCTAGCAGTACGTAGCCGCCTGACTGAAGCAACCTGCACCAGGCGTCGCAATGCCTCGCAAGATCCTCCCTACCCTTTGGAGCTTAGGGCTGGAGACCTGCCAGGTCCACTAAGAATAACAATAATAAGAAGAATAACAATAATAATAAGAAAAATAGTAATGATAGAAATAGTAGTGATACTTGTAATAATAGTAATGATAGCCACAATAGTTCTATGAAGCATCAGCCCCGCCTCATCCAAGAGGTTCAGATGCGCGTACTCCGTCCTCTCCAATACGGCGACCATGGCCGCCACCTCCGACAGAGCAGCTACGACCTTTGACCCCAAGCCATCGTTCTTCTCTGTTACGATTACTGCTCCATGCTACCAAAGCCAGGCTACTCGAGTAGCCAGGTGCAGGGTCTAAGACGTCAATGGGCTTTGATTAAAAGAAACTAACCTGTGGCTCAATCCCGTTTCGTTTGGACTTTCACCTATGCTTTGGTGCCACACCCAAGGCCCAAGTCCAGGAAGCGAGAAGCCCCAAGATCCACCCTTATCTTATCTTATACTTTACTACAGCTATACTGTACTGTGTTTATACGATACGACCCAAAGTGGCCCAAAACGTCAAGCTTAACTAGCAGCAACTGTGTGCTTCACTGCTCCTCAGCTGGGGGTTTATGGCTTCTTTGCAAGTATCTTTCGCTCCGGAGCCTGCGAGCACGCGGCCGCCACGTGCGTCACCGTCCTCCCTCGGATGTTGCGCCAGGTTTGGAGCTCCTCGAGGATCCAATAAGAGGCATTGGGGTTTGGGGGTGTCGAAGTTTAGTGGCTGCGGTAGGGTTCAGGGTTGAGAGGCATTGAGAGGAGGATCAAAATGGGCATGTCAGGAAAGTAACGAAGTTGGCTTCACATGGCCTCAAACACAAGCATTGAGATGCTGGTGCCCACCATTCCATACACGATGATCCTTCCTGCCAAAAAAAACCAGGCTTCTCGGTTCCGATCTGAGGAATCCCGACGCGAGGGAGCCTTGGGTTTCAACTCCTGACAGGTGTTGGGATGTTAGGGAAGCATGGCATAATGTCTCGACCCTCTGCAGTCACGACCCGCGTATGGGCATGACCACAGCTTCCATGCAACCAGGGATCCACGGCCGAGAGGAAGCGGTTGCCAGGTAGCAAAGTTCAGAGGTATTTCCAAATCGCCCCCTACCACCCCTGACGCTTAGACGAAGCCACAAGTTGTGCTGCCAATTCTCTAGTCTTCAAAAACTCGTCCGAGACACGACAACAAGTGTGTGGAATGTTCTGTGCCAACATAAACGTGCACAGCCCTGGCTTCTTCCATCTGATCCGAAGGCTGGACTGGTCAGGCTTGCTTGTGATATGTTGAAATCCAGTCATGGGGAGGGCAGTCTCTTAGTTTTACTGGAGATGCCATGCATGCTCCCTGGTATACATGTCTGCAGGAAGCATCATAAGACGTACTACACATAGTACAGCCATGGAGCCGAAATCATTCGGCACATGCAGCACAGAGATGACAGACTTTGACGCACAATGAGTCCTCCTTGGAAGAACGGCATATTCGACCCAAGTCTCCTGGAACAGTGAATGGGCATCCGGCTGAATACATAACAACTAGCAGTTTCGATCCCGTTTGAGTCGTGTAGTGTTGTACTATCTTCCTTCCCATTTTTACAGTCTCTGCTTCGCAAACTCACACCATTCATCCTGGCACTTCGGTCGGCTGAAGAAGCCCGGGGCCGTCTTTACTGCGTGCACGCCGGGCCCCGGAATCCTGAAGCTCAGAATTCAAATGGCAACCAAACCATCAGAGCACCTGCGACTGCTGCAGCCATGAGCTCTGCTCTTTCCATGGCCTCCCGGCCATGTGGACTTTCAGGCTGAAGCTGTTAAGGATGGAGCACTACCATTGATCTCGGGCTTCAGCTATCAAACATCTCAGCTAGGCTCTGGCACTCAGCTGACGGCACCGCACCGTCGCCATCGAAAGTTCACAAGCTTGTTCCGTAGCTTGGGCAGGCAAGACTGCCTGGCTAAGTTAGGTGCGCCTTGCAGTACCTTCTGTCCTGAACTGCTTTTGCCAAGGTTGGTGCCACACCCTTAACTCACACCAGGTCCGGCAACCACTCGTCTTTGGCTGTGGCGTTGGAAACAGTGCTCCAGACAACTGACAAACGCATTCCCCTTCGGACCTGGCGTGCAATCATCCGCACGGTGCCTGCATATGGCAAACCGAAGTGGCATGACTACAGCCTGGCAGACCGCTCATGGTTCACCATAGATAGATCAATAACAGTAGGTCGGGAAAGCACGCGCATTTCGGCTCATGTCTTGCCGGCTCATCATCGCCCCCCATCATCAACTTTTCATTGCTAGATCTTCATCATCAGAACCGACATCGCCGTCACCAGCGTCAGCATCGTCATCAACCCTGCGATCATCAAAACTACCAGATACCATCCGTATCAACATCAGACAACCGGCACGAGCACAAGCGTCACCATCATGATCACTTCGGGATTGACAGCCGAATGCGCCCCCCCCCCCCCCAACACCAATGACTGAAAGGCACACAGAGAAGCCGTTGAAGCAGCCCAAGCCCCTTGATGCCAGCTTGAGTGTCTTGAGATTTGATGTGCATGACTATCACCATCTGCGCCAGTTCATCATCAAGATCACCACGAGAATCTTCAGACAAATCAAACAAAAGCAAAACCGGTAAGAACTAAGTGCAGCAGTATGTATGCATGAGCCTGTTGACAAGGATTGTCATCGTCGTGGTGACTTAGACTTTGAAATGTTCGACAATGAAGTCGCACCTGCAACCGCAACGACAAAGACATTTGTAGGAACGACAATACAAACGGTGTAATGAACGTAGTGCCGAAGATAGCTACAAAACTTACTTTCAACAGAGATAGCAGCAAACATGCAGCAGAACAGACTGCATAGTAGCTCCACACAAGACCGGAAACGAAGACATGGCCAAACGGCAACTCAAGCGCTGGCATCTGACGATCAGGACCAAGATGATAATGCTGACCAACATTTAAAGATTTGGGTCACCTTTGGATCGACCTGCGAAGGCTCTTGGAAGCCGTGTGAACCATGTGGAGCACTTGAGATCGACGCGAAGCAGCTACCATGAACACCGAAGGCCACGTTATCAATCCGGATGCGCTCTCCGCATAATTATTCACCCTACAATGAGCAACCACTCGAAATGCAACTTTAACGTCAGGAGAAATGCGGCTCAGCGTCGATTTAATTCGGTGATGCCCCCCGTCTGGCGTCGAATGTAAGCCAGGATCCTAAGGCAAGGGGGAGTCACCATGGAGATCTGGGTCTACTTGCGTATTCATGTGTTCACATATTCTCTTGAAAAGTCGATTCTGGTATGCCATACATAGGAAGGGTAGAGTGTAGAGACTACTACAGCGAAGAAGCCTGGCAGGGGCTTTGTGCTGTCCAAAACTGCTTCGCAGACTGCTGGCTAGGCGAGAGTGGCTTGACTCGCTCTCACCTTGCTTGGAACACAAGCATAGCATGTATCCTACGGTCCACTACGAGTACGGTCCGATAGCTTCGCGGCAGCTGCAAAGCCGAGCAATGGGTTCAGGGTTTAGGGTTTAGGGAATGTTCAGATCTTTTCTGAGAAAACATGCTGTACAAGCCGGGGCCCCCGTCACCAGCTGTCCTACCAGCTGTCGTCAGACCAAGGGCGGACAAGGTAAAGGAGGCACAATTAAGGCTTGACGTCCAAGAGCCAGCTGTGAACCGTGCATTGCGTTGATAGCTGGGTTTACTGTACGATGAAGAAAACGACGATCGTCATCGTCATCGCCATCATCATCATCCTGGTCATCAGCAGCATTATCATCACGAATCATCGTCTGTATGATCACCACCAGAATCATCCATTAGCACCATCATCAATACTACCACTACTTAGCACACTCCAACTCAAACCGTGTCAAGAAGGCTGAGAGCTGAGAACGAGCGGCTCTTGCTTGTCCTTCTGGTTGGACGCTTTGCACGCCTCCACATCCACTCTCTCCAGCTTTCGCCCGACGATGTTCCAACAGTCGGCATCTCCGTCGTCAGGAAGGCAGATGTTGTAGTCCTCGCCACATGGGTTTAGGATACATCCTGCAGAAGACTTAAACAACCGCATGGGGCCTAGGTTGAAGCCGGCCGTAACGAAACTTCAAAAGCACATCCCCGACAGTGGGACCGGTGGGACGTAGCAGATTGTGAGACGACATCGGAATGAGCATGTACACATGCATCCATGCGTGTATTCGTGCATGCCATAATGCATGCAACCACTTTTGTAACCTTTTGTACTAGTATGTATATCTGCAACTCTCAATGTAACGCTCAGCCCAAGTTGAGCCCGTCTCGCCTTCCGCAGCTCGTGCGCCAAAGCGGCTTCAAACACCACCCAACATCGCTCCAGTGTCTCGGCGGAGTTATCCTGCTTTGTCAGGGCTTGTCTCTGGCAAGAGCCTTATGGAATGAGCCTGACGTCAGTCAGGGCACGTTGTGAAATTCTTGGAACGGGAGCAAAATTCAAGGCTCAATGCTAAGAGCACGTAGACGGCTTATAGCGTCCAACGTTTTGCCGGTTCAGCTCAGAATCATTCGTCCCTGATCCGCTATCGCAGCTACGGCTACACTACTCAAGATCGACCCTGACACGTCAGCAGCCACTGAGCTTTTCCTTGTGACGTTTTACACCTGAAAACAGTTATGCGACAGGCTGGCTTGTCTATCGAGTGCCTTCTATACTTCTATGCGAAGAACATGGCCACTGCAGTAATTACCTGCGTGCCGCTGGCTGTAAGCTGCCAGCAGCAGGTAGATCACTCTGGGCACATGACTCTCAGCCTAAGTTGTAACCCAGGCCCAGCCTAAGCTTCTTCTGGGGGATGTGGGACTGATGCAAGGATGCACACGATACAAACGACACACAAAACGGCGGCATCAAAGAGTTCATCATCCTCGAACCATACCATACCTGACTTGGGAACATCAGCCGATTCTGAGCTGTTGTCTCTGGCAGCCGAGTTTCCGTAAGTACGAGTACCCGATGGACCGCACGCATGCTCACAGCGAAAGGGCAGCGATCCAGTGAAGACAGGCTGGCCGAAACATCGCCGTGCTGCCACCTTACTGATGCTGAGAGATTTAGATTTTTGGGAGCCGTGGGACTCTCTGGATTTGCTCGTCATGTCCTTTTCTGCGGCTTTCGCTGCAAGGAAGGTAGTACGGTCAGGATCGATTCTGGGAACGTGCCGCTGCAGGAACCAGGAAGGCTTAAAAGTCACAATTGTCTTGTAGGCGGGGGAAGCCTGTGCAGACCTGTCCTTACGCCGAGTGGCAGCGCAAAGCTGCAGATCCACACAACAGCCTGCAGGCCACTTTCCGTCTCAGAGCTTTGGAAGATGTGTCGCTGGCCACCCGCACAACAAAGCTGCATCTTCTACCGGCAGCCCGAACAGATTGCAGCCCACGGCAAAAGATCTGCATTCACCCCGGCCTATACTCAGATACTTTGCCCTGACTCTGACCTTCTCCCCGACGAGCCTTTAGCCTCCTATCGAAAGGGCTGACTGCTGCAGCTGTATGGTGTCTCACTAGTGCACGGGTTCGACGTATCCATATGCCGGATTCGGGAGGCTATCATTCAACATCCGCTTCGGGCTGCGTTTGCACACTCTGCAGGCTTACTGTCGAGTGAGCAAGCTGGTTGAGTCCAAACCCGGTTTTTGCCTGTGCATCCAGCAGCCGGAACAGCCTTCGCTGCACAAAAACTGTGTAACAGAGCCCAAGGCTTGGTATGCAAGTAGACTGCGAGGTTCCAGGTTCAGGAGCTGATCAGTACGCTGGCTTCTGGGGTAAGTCCCCGCCGCCAGAGGTTGCTCTGTCTCCGTTGTCGGTTTGAGTCTGGGGTCGGCAGACCATTTTCTGCATTGGGGTATAGTTCGACTTGGATCTGCTGGCCTATTGGTTCTGCCGTTCAGAGGATTCTTATAGGTAGTTCTATCCACGGCATTTACAAAATCAGGTGCCTTTTGGGAACAATCTGCGGCAGGGGTCTATAATAAACTATAGGTATGAGCAGAGGAAGCAAAGGATGGTGCTCTTTCCAGCGGCCTCAAGCGAATAGGGCCCCCAAACCCTTCCTAGGTGAGACGGCTACTTTCGAAACGTTTAGCAAATATGCTGCGAGCGACATGGGTGGAAAACTTGCCAGCTGCTAAGCAGAAGAAGGTACTGACTGCGTCAATCTAACATAACTACCGATCTATGCATTAGTTTATCCTTGTGTCTACCTACCTCCCAACGCAATCTAATCAATCTAGCCAACCTAACCTATCTACTCGATCTATCTGAACTAATTATCTAACAAGCGAATCTACTCATCTACTCTACTCTACTCTACTCTACTCTACTCTAGTCCATCTAGTCCAATCGAACAAATGTGTGTGTGTGTGGTTGTTTTTCGTATGAGAGAGAGTGTATATATATATATATACATATACACATGCACATGTATAACATCCATACATGTATGTATGTATATATATATACATACATTCATATGTACAGTCTATCGAGTCAAACATCAATTTGTTGTGTGTGTGTGTGTGTTTTTTTGTTCATGTCTCTACATGCATACATGCACCTCTATCTATCTATCTACCTATCTATCTATCGATCTACATGTGTGTGTGTGTAGATGTGCGTGTGTGTGTGTGTATGTGTAAAGACATATATGTACATGTATGTCTGTGTGCGTGTGTATGTATACACATATATATAGAGAGAGAGAGAGTGTGTGTGTGTGTGTGTGTCGTTTAAGCCGAAGCAGCGTCGTTGCAAAGTCTTCGAAAGCTTCGCTCCAGCTGTGGGATACAAAGGTTGTGGCCATGCAGAAGAGATCCTCACAGCCATTCCGGCTTTTTTCTGAGGGTTTCGGCCCGCACCCGGGCTCAAGGCAGGCTTAGGGTTTGGGGCCTTTGAGGTTTACCACGAGCTTCTAATGAATTCTGGCAGCATGCAGGTCTTCGACAAGGGATGCAGCATGATGCAATAGAAATGCAACATGGAAGGTGACAAAACTCCGCCCTTCATTAGCCGCATGGCCGCTCGTGTCTTCAGGAATTGCAAGGCATACAGCAGCATGTGACCAACACGCTCTCTTTACATGCCGTTCCCTGCGCAGCTGTAACAAACAAGGACAGCCAACCGCACGTTGACAAAGAAGATCCAACTCACCAATGCCCCAGAGGTTACGGCCTGCTGATGGTGAGTACAAACCGGGCTTCAGCGTATCGAAGGCACATGCAAGCATGATCGGGAGCGGTTTTCAAGTGGCGTACAAACGAAACATTTCGTCCCTGGGTCGTCCTTTAGAAAAGCTGCCTCGTAATTGTGAGTCCGCCGTAAACCCAACGCACTTTGTCACTAAACGCTTGTCTATTGGCAAATTAAAAGAGCACGGAAAAGAGACATAGAGGGGCTGACACGGTTGCCGCAATTTTTCAGCAACACAGCGCTCGCTGGGAAGTTCAATCTAGAGCAAAGCCATCCGGAAGGAAGCAACTTGTATCTAACTTAAATCAGAGCGGAGGAAGATAGCGCCTTTGCCATACCGGCCCGACAGTGTGGTGAGTTTTTCAGAACCACTACCACCTTCCTTTGAAACGCACGACGTCGCATGAACCCTGTAAGCGTACATGCTGTCAAGGTGCTGCGCACTTTCGCGACCAGGCGATGCTCCCGGCATTTAAAACCAGTGCCAAGCCAGCATCCTCATGACACGTGGCTTGTGCACAGGTTGAAGCGGATATTTCGGCATCCCAGTTATGTTGGAAGACCAGGCTTGCGATTGCTATGTAGGCACTATAAGCTGCTCGAACCAGGCTAGCCCTGTAGACTGCCCGATCACGTCATGTAGCACCAAGTTCCAGGGACCGAGCGGTGCATGATTGACCCTGCCGGCTGCATGCTTTTTGTTCACAAACCTGTCCATCATCCCGACCTGAGTATGTCCATGTCTGCCGAGCTGCAAATCCCCGGGTCCAAGGCATCACATACCGCTGGACCACGAGATGCATGTCCTTGGAGCCATTCAAAAGCTAGCTGCCTTCAAGTGTTCAGCTTAGGCTCTGACTTGGCTCTCTCGTGGTGAGGGGCCGAGATGCCCCGCGCATCTGCCGAAGCTGCCGCGACGGGGGGGCACCCGCGGCAGACGACGTGGAAGTAGATTCCTTAGAGATCAAGGGCCAACAAAACCACCGCCTATGCTGCTTCCTTTGCAGCAGCGCAAGAGTGAGCCCCGTGACTGCAAACTGCTCCGTGGTACAGTAACAGTTATGACGGCTAACTGGGATGCTTTCAACGGTGGATGTGCTGTTGTGCAGTCCGCTTAGCAAGACGGACATGTCAGCTTCCTCTGTTTTCTCAATGATCTTAACGCTTCGTGGACTAGACTGACGCTGAGGTGGTTCTGGAGCCTGTGAATCCTTGCACGACATTCCACAACCTGCAGGCGCTGCAGTCCTGCCTTCCCCCACTTGATGCGCAGAGTCCCAGGGCCTTGATGGGCCCCGTACATGCCCCAGGTCGGAGGCGATCTATTTCTAAGCCACGGGAAGAAAGCTTCCAACTCCTTTTCTCTTCCTTGCGAGTCCGTACATCCTGATCTGCAGCAGGCTGATGCGAAGCTGCGGCTTGCGCCAATCGTGCACCCTGAGCCTGCAGATCTACACAATCATAATTTATGCATGTAATATACATACGTATGCATGTACGTAGGTATGTTGGTATATATATATATATATATATATACATATAATGTTATGTCGCTGTATGACTATTTGTATAAAGGTATACATCTACACACACACACACAAAGACTCAACATCAAACAACTGTATAATGATTGTACAACCCCGGGAAAACTGGCGTTCGAGCATCCCCGTGGCTCCAGAGGCAGGGGCTCACGATGCAGTAGTGCCGGCCATCCGAGTCCACCTTCCGAGAGGCTGGCGATCATCCAAAAACCAAGGGTTCGAGGTTTGGGGTTTAGGCGCTCTGGGGCCGAGAGTTTTCGGACTTCAGTCCACGCTGGCCTCTCGCGCGCTCGAACCCATGCAACCCGCCCAGGCCCCATTTTCTAAGACAAGGTGAAGAATGTCCTGCTGTAGCCATGTGCGCAATCGACTCAAAACACCGACACCCGTGAGCTCGAGACCCAATCATCTGGCTCCCTTTAAGCCTTGTGTGCTGCAGCGTAGCCAGTCAAGTCCTGGATGCAAGAAAAGCCCAACTCGGAGATCAGAATTTTGTCCCTAACGCTGTCTCAAGCTCAGTCACACCCAGGCCCCCATCTAGTGTGTGTGTGTGTAAACATGACTCTGCATCGTTGCATCTCTTTGCTCTTCCATGAACTAACTTTTCTTTTTAACTGACTTACGAGGATGACATCATCAACTATTCAGGCCTTCGGATTTAACCCTGGACAGCGTGCAAGACCACGAGGTTCGGCTCACGGCCCCTTGAGTTTCAGAAGGGCTCGGTTTCGACGCCCCGAACTGAACGCCCAAATCTTTCACTCCCACAGTCAAAGCGTCCCGCAACCCAGCGCAGCTCTTGAGCTAGTTCAAGTAAGCTTTCTCTTATCTCATGCTGCTCATACTACACCATGTTCTACTAGTTTATAATAGTACTCTTCTATTCATGTTCTTGCTTATGCCATATTACACCATGTTTGGGTCCTCCTTGATGTAGAGCCACAACTTCCAGAGGAAGTCTACGCGCATGCCCCAGGCTTCCGGCTGCTGCTTCCTCGGCTATGGAGCACGAGGTCCTGCTTTTTCGCGTCTGGGCAGTAGATCGCATAATATAATATGTATTATACGATAGTATAGTATATTATGACAGAACATAGTGTAGTACCGTATGGTATGGCATGGTAGAGTACAGTAATGTATAGTAAAGTATAGTGCAGTATGGTAGGCATTAAAGGAGTGGTGGGTATATGGTCTTGTCCTATCCTGCTGCTGGCATGCCCAACCTGCCTTTAATGCTGATCCGTGGCGCTGCATGCTGGAATTTTTCAACATGGCGTAAACTCCCTGGGCCATGTGCGATGACAGCCATGTTGCTTTACACCAACATAATCCAGCATTGTGGCTCTTTCCAGCACTACTACAGTCCCCCCGTGTGCGACCATTGTTGACACCAGTGACGCTTCAAGACTTCAGGTCCCTGAGAAACTGCATCGGGGCTTCAGGTTCGACAGTTGCGGGGTGGGCCTGAGATTAATCACCTCCTGCTTAACATACCGGCAAGGGAAGGTTGAGTTAGGGCACCTCCCGGTGTTGCAGGAGACTTCCTTACGAAGGACGTCTGTGCGCATAATATACTCATGGTCTACACCGAGCGAAGCTGAATGGTGATTCTGGCAAAATAAAAAAACACCCTCAGAAGAACTGCTGCTGCTGCGACATGCCGCGAGCCTCAAAATACTGCTCCGTACCAGCATGATGCTATATGTCAATGAATATATCACAGCTCTCATCATCACCAACATCACTAGCAGCGTCAACATCATCCTCCTCGGGCCCCTCGGAGGCATCACCAACTCCACACCGACAACAACGCACCATCAGAAGCACAACCAGCATCATGGTCATCACAATCATTATCGCCATCATCACCAATGAATCTCTACGGCTTTGAGTCATTGAAATCATCTCTGGCAGTGACCAGCCCTAGCCTCGGGCCTCGTCACCATCTGCAGAAGACGACCAAATGCCAGCGTTTCTGCTCAGTCTCGACGTAACGCAGAGCAGTGAAGAGACCATGGAACGAACCACAACAGCATTATGGATACACCCAGAACGAAGGCATGCTAACGCTTGACAAAATCGTCATCAAGTCTGCCTGCGGATTCCGGAAGGCTCTATACGCCTTGGGTCCCGGCATGAGGCGTGTTCGTAAAGAGACTTTCTAGCAAACGGGGGACCCCGTAATGGGACAAACCTTCCCACAGGCACTGTAAACCTAGAGCCTTATGGAAGACACCGCACGAAATCCTTCGGCAACCAGCTGCTCCCCTTTCTCCCACCACATTTCCAACTTCGAGGCCCAGTGGCTTATCGGGAAAGGAGGCACAACAAGGATGGAAACCACCGGCGAGCGCCTGCTCGATGAGATCCTTGGAACTCTTTCTCGCGGAGTCTTATTCAAGGTATAGGCTCTTGACGGCTTCGGGATTCTGTTTCAAGTTGATTCAGGGTGTCATGGCTGAATGGAGCTCTCTTCGTATCCTGACTTAGTGTTTGACGACGAGACTGGTGACGGTTATGCTGTTGATGCTGATGGTGGTGCACTCTTGTTGGTGGTGGTGCTGGCACGTGATGCTTGCAGCGATGATTCTTTGAGAAGAAGGGCATTTAAGTACAAGATGATGAATACCTTTTGTTGCATCCCGGCTTGGAGTGTCGGCCAGGCAAGCTGCTACTACTACTACTACTAC